TGAAAGTGTTTAGGTTGGACCTCAAATTATATGGTTTTGGTAAATCTAAAGGAAAATTGTACAAGAAAATTGTATAATGTATGGCTAGCCTTATTCACACAAATTCACAAATTCTAGATTGAATACGCATGCACTATGCGCATGCACTCTCTCTTTAATGAGAAGTGGGACCCTTGTTTTTTATATTGTCTCTACCTCAGACTAGATATTACAATTTATGCGAAGAACTTATTTGATTCATTTGTCACTTTTATTTTTCTTTTGCACCAATTCTTCCTACATGCAGATATTGTAACCAGTATGGTATTCCTCATTCTCCATAAGCTTCATTATGGTACATCTTTAGTTTTTTTTTTTTTTCCTTTTTTTAAAATGTATTTATTACAGGTACTTATATAGAGCCATCAGGGGCAGACTGACAACTCATGGGGCCCCCGGGCAAAAGGGGATCATGGGGCCCCTGTGTCCTTGCCCAAACTCAAAAAAGCCTATGAAAAAAGGTACCAGGGGTATCTCATGGGGCCCCCTACTGACCCCGGGCCCTCGGGCAGTGCCCGAGTTTCCAAATGGTCAGTCCGCCCCTGAGTGCCATCAATTTACACAGAGCTTTACATATATATTGTACATTCACATCAATCAAAATTTAAGGTCCCTAACTCACATTCATACATACACATGCTATGGCCAATTTAGACAGGAGCCAATTAAAAGATAAGTTCACCTTTTGCCAAAAAATAATAAATGCACATTTTTTTGCAGGTAACAAAATGTGCGTGTATTATTTTTTGTTTTGGGAGCCTGTAAAGCATTGCACCAGCGATCATCAGATAACTGGTACCATGCAGGTCCCCTGCAGAGCTGTCAGTATATCTGCTTTCCCAGTAAGGCTGTGGAGCAGACCTTGGCCCTCTTTAGGACTTACATTTGTCAAGCAGTGCAGAGGATCCACCATTTCTGTGACAACAGGATCAGAATTGACAACATTCAACCTGGAAGAGGAGCAGTGGCCAATACCTGGAGTGATGAGTATATGGGAGACAGCAGCAGAGATCAGGTGAATATAGCATCTGGAGCTGTGGGCGTACTGCAGTGTATACCCATGCGATTATGTACAGATGTTCCATGAATCCCTAGGGAGGCAGTCCCATTGATGTCAATTTAACATCCATGCAAGTGTGGGTGCATGGCCCTGAACACATAATAGTTTGTGAACCCACACCCACATGAATGTCAAATTGGGAGAAGCAGCTGTGTCTATGCAGCTGTGTCCCAATTGTCATCAATAGGACTGCCTGCACAGGGATGTGAGGAACAGCTATGCATCCCCATATGGGTAAACACAACCCTCAGGAGGTTGCATGCTGCAGTACGCCCATGTGAACCAGGCCTAATTTTCACCTGGTAATCTAGCCAGTAAGTCTGTTATTTTTCAACTTCCTTTAACAGACCAAACTGTCCAGCAAAAGTGACAGCTAGAAGGCTTGTTTAATATCAAGGGTGTTTACACTAATCTGTTTTTATTCATTTACGTAAAACCGTTCTCCCAAAAGAAAAGAAAACTGTTTACAAATGTTAGCAGCATTTCAACTTTAATTTGTTAACCAAGCCCACATAAATCTTCTAGTGCATCAGAGGCTGACCTTACACTAGTAGGTTGCTGAATGAATGTTCTTATGAACATTTGTCAAAAAAGTTCTCAATACATTCAGGGCTAGTTCATATCAGTTTACATCAGTTTTCATGCACACTTCAATGAGTTTAATGCACGTTGCAGATTCTTGTTCAGAAAAAATCTGCATGTGATACTAATGTTGTGGTGTAAACAGGGCACATAGATTTCATTGTACCCTGGCAGAACACTTGCAGAAAAACTGACGTCTCTGCACCATGGTGTGAACAAGGCCTCAAGGACTTGATGAAAGTTCTTCAAAAGTATTTCAAAATTTCCTTTGCTTTTTTACATTCGATTTTGAAACGAATGGAATTTTTAATACAAAAACAACACACACTGTTAGGAATTTGTTAATTCAAGAAAAAGTTTCCATTCTGCACCTTCACATTTTTTGTCACTATGGGGGAGAATTACTAAAACTGGAGTGTGCAAAATCTGGTGCAGCTGTGCATGGTAGCCAATCAGATTCTAACTTCAGCTTGTTCAATTAAGCTTTGAGAACACAATCTGGTTTCTGCGTAGAGCTGCACCAGATTTTGCACATTCTAGTTTTAGTAAATCAACCCCAATGGTAGAAAATGGAAGTAAATTTTACTTCACTAACCTTTAGAAAATTGAACAAACATAAAATAAAACATTTTGCTCAAAAGTCGACTTATGTATGGCTAGCTTAAAACTGCCTTCTCGGACTGACAATGCTGCTGTCCAAAGGTTTCCTCAGTGGCTCCATCATCAAGAGTGGAGACTCCCTAAGACAGGAAAGGGTTGATTTACTAAAACTGAAGAGTGCAAAATTTGGTGCAGCTGTGCACTTTTTAATTTAGTTTGTTTAATTAAGCTTTGACAACAAAACCTGGAAGTTGATTTGTTTCTATGCAGAGCTGCACCAGATTTTGCACTGTTCAGTTTTAGTAAATCAACCCCTTTCCTGTCCGGTTTTAGTAAATCAACCCCAAAGTGTGTTACTGGACAAATCACCAGGTGAAAATAAAGGAAAAAGCCTTATAAAAGCAAAAAAAAGCAGCCTTCATGTTTAACCACTTTACAACCAGGCTATAGCCAAAAGATGGCTACAGTGCACTAGTCCAGTTCTGGGAGGGCGTCAGATGACATCCTCCCAGAGCACAATCGCAGCGGTGCGCACCCGCCGCTGTCAGTGATCGCTGTGTCCTATGGACACAGCTGATCACATGACTAGGTAAAAGGCCAATCACAGTGGCCTTTTGCCATGTGATCAGCTGTGCCCAATGACACAGCTGATCACAAAGTAAATTCAGTTGCTGATTATCGGCAGAACTTTCCGCACGCTGTCACACAATCTAGTGCAATCTGCACTAATAATCAGGGCACTGATTATCAGTGCCCTGATTATCAGTGCCACCCATCAGTGCCCAGCAAAGTTGCCCATCAGTGCCACCAGTCAGCGCTGTCAGTTAGTGTTGCTTATCAGTGCCCATCATTGCTGTATATCAGTGCATCATCAGTGCCTCCTCATCAACGCCCACCAGTGGCACCTCATCAGTGCCACCTATCAGTGCCCACCAGTGCTAGCTATCAGTGCAGCCTCATCAACACACATTAGAGAAGAAGAAAAATTACCTGTTCGCAAAATTTTATAATAGGAACAAAGCAAAACTTTTTTTTTTGCTCTTTTTTTGTTTATAGTGCAAAAAATAAAAACCCCAGTGGCGATTAAATACCACCAAAAGAAAGCTATTTGTGTGAAAAAAATGATAAAAATTTTCATATGGGTACAGAGTCGCATGACCGCACAATTGTCATTCAAAGTGCGACAGCGCTGAAAGATAAAAATTGGTCTGGGCAGGAAGGGGGTAAAAGTGCCGGCAGGCAAGTGGTAAAGGATTGTAATATATAAAATTTTGGCTTTGGGTTTAATACCACTTTAAAAAACTTTTTACAGAATAATTGATTCAAAGTAGCAATTTGCTGGCTCTACACAGGAATGTTTACATATTACTGCTTCATTGTTTACAGCTTCTATACAATACTCCTTTCTTTTTTTCTACTTCTGTCAGTCAATGTTTGAAAGTGCAGTACCAGGGGTAGGCAACCTTAAAGAGGTGGAGATCTACTTGAACAACATGAGATCACTGGGCACAGCATCGCCCAGTATCACCTCCTCACATTTAAACCTGTAATTGCCGTACTATTGTGTCACAATCGCATGCATTGCATGGCAATCATGGGTTTAAATCAGGTGGTGAGGAGGCAACATATGGCCTCCTCACCACCTGTCAAACACGGTTTGCTTTGCAGAGGAGCAGCAGTGCCTGCTGCACCAGTGAATGAGTCCTTAGTGGCATCCAGCAGTGGCACTCTTAGGGCTCGCTGAGGGGTAATAAACCCTGCAGTTGAGTCATGGTTTTACTGTCCCCAATACTTACCCCTTTTAGCTGCTGAGGTAGCAGCCAAAGATGTACACATGCTACAGCAGGAATTACACCACCTGTTGCTTTATGATGGGCGCTACCGCCTTTCAATTTGAGACCTATTCAATTAAATGGGCCGTTCTGCAAGTGCATGCTTCTGTGGGGTCTGAGCAGTGGTGTATTTAGGTTTTGTGCTGCTCTAGGCAACAGAAAAATCATTTCTCCCATGGACACTGACCAACACCCCCCCCCCAACCCCTCCCACGCAGAGAGCCTGACATTGACCAACAACACCCCTGCTCCCCCACCCGGGACAGCCTTCCAATATCCTCCCCCTTCCCCGGCGCTAAAGAGACACTCATCTTTACAGCTTCACACATCCCTGAGAATGAGATCCAGGCTCTACATACACTATCAAGCATCCCACAGCCTCTCTCGGGTCCCACCTGGTTCCCATGGTGCACTTGTCCCTTCTTTCATCCCTTCTTCTGGGGGGAGGTGCTGCCCCCCTCTGAAAAATGCCGCCCTAGGCAAGTGCCTTGTTTGCCTTGTGGTAAATACACCCCTGGGTCTAATGAGTTAAAGAAGGAGTTAAGAAAGCAACTGCCTGCTTTAACTCCTTGTTTGCTGTACTCCACAAGGTTGCAGGGCACTTGCACAGTGGCCTCATTCACTTGAATGGGTCCTGCTTGGCACCATCCCTGACAGAGTGTAGGAGTCAGCACTAGAGAGGAGGCATCAGCTTATGTGGCTCTTGTTCACTACTACAGCTCCAACTTTACAAGTGGTCCCTCTGCATTGCACTCTGATGTTCTGGAATGGAAGATTAGCAAGCCCTAATCATGATCTACCAGTCACCAGGCCAAGATCTACTGGATCACAATCTACTGGTTGCTGACCCCTGTCCTATACCATATAATGTCTACAAAAACACTGACCTTTATTATTGTTGCCTGCTTCAGGTCCCAGATCTGTGGATGAGAGTGTTGATGGTACGTGTTCAGTGGTAGTAGTTTTAGTTGTTGTTGTACTTTCGGTCCTGGTTGTTGTTGTAGCAGGTGTTGTGGAGGTGGCAGTGGTTGTTGCAGGCATCTCTATAATCCTGTCCTCTTGAATGATGTGGGTTTCTCTAATTTCTCCCTCTGTTTTACTGTCTTGTTTTTCTCCTCGTATTGTCAACCTACCAGTGTTTTCTAAAAAAAACATGACAGCATGAAACAACAAACCCTTATACATGTATATTACAAATCATTATTAAGTCATTTATAAGTGACTTCACTAAGTTAATTTTGCAATGCCATGGATAACGTATCAACAGCACGTGTACTTCTAGGTGCACTTAGTCAAAACTAACATTTCCAGTTTTATTCTAGGTGAAGAATTAAGATAACATTTTACAACACTAAACACATTGCTCTGTCAAATATACATACGATAAATGTCTAGACCAAATCACTTTTAAAAGAGAACTATGTAGGCAGTAAACTCTTGTCTGTGATTTTTTTACCTACAGGTAAGCTTATAAGCGTACCTGTAAGTAAAATTAATATCTCCTAAATGTTCACCGTTTAGGAGATATTTGTGTGTTTGGCAGCCGGTGACGTCACCGGTGCATGCGTTCTAAAGGAACTACATACACATGCTATTCCTTCATTGCTCTGTGCCGTGGTCATGACTTCATCGCAGCTCGGCCATTCAAGGAAAATTGGGTGAAGGTGAAAGCCCTGTCAGTGGTGGCAGCACGCCGCGGCAGGGCTTAGGTTCAAGGTAAGCCTGTCATTCTGTCATAATGTGCTAGTATTCGATGCATACTAGCACATTATGTTATTGCCCTCCGATCTGATCTGCCCAGACAGAGAGAAAGGCATCCATTTGTTTTTGGTGTTTCAGATCAGATTGGAGGTAGGAAAATGTAAAACAGACACACGTCCGTTTACGTCCATCACTCCAGAGAGGAGAATGAAGAGTCCAATTGGGTCCGTCTTAAAAATGGACAGGCGAACCTGAAAGGGGCCTAAATTATTATTATTTTTTTTTTTTTAGGAAAACAAACAAAAAAAAATCCTCCTGCAAGGTAATTTATTTATTTCAGGTACTTATATAGCGCCGTCAATTTACGCAGCGCTTTACACATATATTGTACATTCACATCAGTCCCTATCCCTCAAGGGGCGTACAATCTAAAGTCCCTACATACATACACATACTAGGGCCAATTTAAACAAGAGCCAATTGTCTAAATTGGCCCTAGTATGTGTATGTATGAATGTAAGTTAGGGACTTTAGATTGTACGCCCCTTGAGGAATAGGGACTGATGTGAATGTACAATATATGTGTAAAGGGCTGCGAAATTGACAGCGCTATATAAGTACCTGAAATAAATAACTAAATAAATTACCTTGCAGGAGGATTTTTTTTTCGTTTGTTTTCCTAAAAAAAAAAAAAAAAAAAATATTAATTTAGGCCCCTTTTACACGAGTGGTCCGATCAGGTTCGCCTGTCCATTTTTAAGATGGACCCAATTGGACTCTCCATTTTCCTCTCTGGAGTGATGGATGTAAACGGACTTGTGTCTGTTTTACATTCTCCTACCTTCAATCTGATTTGAAACACCAAAAACAAATGGATGCTTTCTCTCTGTCTGGGCAGATCAGATCGGAGGGCAGTTGGATGTAAACAGATCTTTGCACGGTTGAGTAACGTCAGTCAACAATGCGGCAGTAACGTCAGCTGAAAATGTGCCACAGGAGTGCAGAACAAAGTGCACTCGTACGAACTACAGGATGTAGTATAGCCAAATCACTTTGGCTATACTGTGATAATGAATATCCATCAGTAGCAATGTACCATGTTTTTTGTTTCTCAGAAGAAAACTATTGACCACACCTGATGCAGTAAAAACTTCTAGGCAGATATTAAATAAAAAAACTAATAGGTGCATTCATGTGTTCAGAATCAAAGTGCAGTCTTGGCAGGAGGACAATTTATTGCAGTCCAATCACAAAGCTGGAACAGAAGGGGGACCTACTGTATTGCTAAATTGCAGTCAAAAAGTTAGGTCACTAACCTGGCCATGGCAGCAATGCAAATGCTTTGGCAGCTAAAACGGCTGCCATTTATATGTCCTTCAGTTGTGTATAGTGCTGTTTTCCTAGAGTTCATCTTTGATTATGAAAACAGTTCTTTATGCACTTTCAATACATGTGCTTTGTGCTGATGAGGCTATTACAGCTGCTCTGTTTAGTTCCAATAAAGTGTGGCTTTTCTGTTCATCACTTCTTGCTTCTTCTTCCAAACCCCTGCTGCTGGAAGTATAACTGAACTCTAGGCTAAACAAATATTGTCTAAATACAAGAGCCATGTGTTTTCATACATGAACATCAGTATCCTTTATTTCTTCCAGATCTGTGCAGTAAGCCAGCTTGAAACTCCTGCACTTTGCCTCTATGCTAGAGTGTTTAGAAATAAAGACCGGTCCCTACTGCTCTCTCCTTGTTAGAAAAACAAGAACAGAAGAGTCACCAGCCTTGCGCATTACCTTTGTGATACTTTTATTAGAGTAAAATGTAGATATCTATGCACAGACAGCATGTAAAATCAAGCCAATCAATGTCCACAGTGTCCTGCATAATCCGGTCCCAACCGCAGGAAAACCCTTTGAAAATACCAAGGCGTTTTGAGGGAGTGTTGTCTTTCGCAGAGTCAAATTTCTTTCATACATAGTCTGGCAAAAATAAATAAATACGTAATATATAGTGTGACATGGAGCAGTTAGCTCTCATGGTAGATGCATTTTTTTCAGGGATTTTTCATTTTTTGCATTTTTCAGGGGTTGGTAGCCCACTTTTATTTAAAAGAAAGCACAAATTCACAAACGAATGATTTCCCATGCAGGGGATCTTCTCCAACTTCAGCAGAAATATATGCACTGTAAAACGCAGAGCCACTTGGCTCAGAAACTCACTCAGCTTCAATTGCACTACCTCTCTTGGATACTTGGCTCTCTAACCTTTAGACCCAGAACCCTGCTGTAAGGCCCACCTCTGGCCTATGGATGGGGGTTCTCCTCTCACCCTGATAGGAGCCAACGTGACTCCTGGAACTGTCTGAACTTCTGTCTCTTGGTTCCTGGCTGGGTCCTCTGACCCCTCGATGAGACCTTCCATCTCTCTCACTGGAAGCAGTCTCCAACTGGGAGCTCTGAGCTATTCTCAGTATATAACGACACCTCACAGATGTGTACTCCAGATTGCAGGTGGCTAGCAAAACCCAGAGACTGGACTGAATGTTCTGATCCAGAGCTGCAGAATCCATCGAAAGCCAAATCCATAGCTTTCTCTGCCCAGAAACACTAGTTTGGAACATCACTTTCACCCTAAATGAGAATCCTGTGTCACATTTTCCTATCTTCTCACAGTGACAGAGTCTTGTCCTGTCACTATGGGTGTATGAGTGAAATTTGGCTCTGATGAAAAAGAAAGTGCCTCAAAATGCATCAACCATTTCAATTGGTCTTTCTGCAGGTGGGACTTGTACAATGGACTGGATTATGCAGCTCACTGTGGACATTGATGGGCTTGAACGTACATGCTGTTTGTGAGTAGATATTTACATTTTACTCTAATAAAGGTATCACAAATGTAATGTGCAAGGCTGGTGCGCCCTTCTGTTCTTGTTTTTCTAGCGTGTCCCAGGCGCTTCCCCAGTCCTCAAGGGGACTTGTCAGAACTGGAGTGTTTGAAGATTGGTGGTCCATGTTTGCCGAGCATTTCTCTTGAAAGCAGTAGATTTTTCATTTTGTTTTGGATGCTCTCTTCTTGTGCAGGGTGACTGATCTGGTGTCCACCCCACTTTAGTTTTCTGCAGGCAGCCTGTAAGTATCACTTAAATATTTTTGGAGTTTAATAGCAATCAAAAGATGATTATACCATAAAATAATAAATTAAGTGTGCATATAGTGTTGACATTGATAGAAGAGACATAACTATCCTTTATAGATGTCCAGCTGACACCTCCACTCTGCATTACTAAGGACCTGGCTGTACTTCTTCAATCACAGGATCACAGGAGCTCAGTCCATTCTTCACTCCTGTGACACATCTCCAGCCAACAGGAGGCTAAAGCCCTTTATCAGCTGACATCACTCAGCCATTTCAGGCTCTGGAAAGATCCTGATTTTACCCATATTTCTGGAATGGCAGCTGGCTCAGCCTTTCAGCAGGCCATTGAGAGCCTGAGCCAACTTCTCACACCCCCTCCAGAGCCCAGTGCTCCAGTGAGCGCTGGAGAGGCAGAACACAGAGCAGGCTGACTGTGCTCAGAGCACACCCAAGAACTAAATGATCAGCAGTCTTTGATTGCTCTGTTCTCAGTCTTAGACGTTGCGGGGGACAGATGAAGCATTGGATCGAAGCTGCATCCACCTAGGTGAGTATAATGTTTTTTCTCAGAAACCTATACTTCTCTTTTAATCCTTGTTTTCTGTTCTTGAAAATATTTGGACTAAGCACGGCCCCTATGCGTGCATGTGGAGGTGGCTTATGTAAGTAACAAGGTACAGTGTCAAGAAATCATTTTTCTTTTTCTGTAATTGTGTCATATTATCTTAGTGTTATTGATTTACATAAAAAAATCTAAGTGAATTAAAAAAACTGACTGAGATTTGGGGTCATGTCTGATATGCCAGTTTTGGTCCAGGTTGTTTTGTAGTCTGTTAGACTGGGGAGCAACATTGTATATTAAATTTCTATGATACCTGTTGCCTATCATTTCTTTAGAATCACATTGATTTCAATATGTTTGATGTGAAAATACTGCCAACAAGTAGTTTGTTCGTAGCAGAAAAGAGCCTTGCTGTAATGTATGTCTGTCAAATATTGAAAAGGGGGACCAACATATTTTGATATTTTAAATAACCATTTGCATGTATTGTAAATGGGTTTCTTTCATGAAGCAGATACTTTCCTGAACACTTTCAAGTCTAAAACAAAATATGAGCTAGTACACTACATAACTGTGGGGAAGGGGTTTGTTGTTGCCTTGACATAAAGGCCACAAAGTCACCAACTGCTACTGAAAACAATGGTGGATATATGTAGGATGTAGGACGATGTAAGATTAACCCTGCAGAAATATACTGACATTATTGTGCCAAGAGAGCATAGTGTTTTTAATCAACTAGCAAATACGTGTTGTACCTGTA